GTGTGCTCTCGAAAATATTCTTTTACGAATGGACATTTAAATTTAGATCCCGTGACGAAAGTAAATAGACTCGAAAGAAGCGCTGACCGAAAACAAAAAAGGTCGCAGTCTAAGAAGCGGTATGACGTTGAATATTCTTACACAAGACCGGTATACTCATACAGTTGGGAATTATTCAGAATGTTTGATTGAGAACATATTGAATTAGAGATCCGCGGTCATGAACCGTCTCTGTCTGGATCAATATCTTTTGTATACAACAACGCAACAAAATAGACAGACAGACAGAGATTGACGAGAGTAATTGCAGGTTCATAAAATGATGATTACTAGTCGAATGATGACGGATTGTGAATGCCGAGCGGGAAATTCCGACTTCTTATTCCCGGAAAATTCGTCAAACGTCCGCTCTCGTTATCGGAGACCTCCCGCATGATAAATGATTCCACATACCTGGAAACGTGACGTATCGCTGCCGGCGTCCTGCTTTCCGGCTGCTGGAGTCCTCCGGATTTCACTCACTCACGCTTCTAATGCCGATACTCGCGATTCGACCGTGCGGTTAATCAACGCGATGCCGACGGATTGAATATCTCGAGGACCGACGAGATACATTTCTTTCAATTAAACACGAGACGGAAGTGACGAGCGTGTCACGCACGGCTGCTGTTGATGGAATGAGGACGAATATACGAGGTGCGCGAGTATTATAATACGAAGGGCAAAAAGTGTCGTCGCTCGCGAGCCGATCAACACAATCGGCGCGATGTAAACATTGCGAGTCTCGGCGGCGGTCGAAGCAAGTGAGACTTGTCCTTGAGCGTCTCTTCTTTTCTCGAAGGTTCCGGGACGATGAGGGGAATGCGAGGTGGCCTTTCAACTGTACGCGACATTGATTTACTATTTATTGATTACTGAAAATAAAGAAAATTATTCTGTCGAAGCATCGGACATTTGTTAGCTTTATGTTAATTAAAGAGGAATGTGTACGATTAGAAAATGTGTTAGCAACTAATCGTACAGAGTGCCAAAGTTGTTGTGACGCCGCTGTCGGAGAATAATTAAAGGTGATGGTAGCGTTAAAGAGTGGGGAATTTCATCCCATGCGAATTTTGTCTCGTTCTTATTAAATGTTAGTCCTGTATAAAATGTCGTATTTAAAAGTATTTAAAAGTATTGTTTCGCATTCACGAGATTTTGTCGTGAATTCTGCTTTGCGGGAATCTCAGATTGGATCGCGGGCCAATACTTTTCAATGCGACGGGGAATAGAACGTGAAAATCTTGTATGCCTCTGAATCCGAAAACAATTAGGAGAAGAAGCGAATACTTTTCAATACGAAAGTTCGCATTTGAAAATTATCGATTGCGATTGAATACAAGGCGTGTTTGAAATGAATTGAATCCTTTTTAATGCGAAGCATTCACCACTGCCATCTCGCATTTAGCGCGGTGAAATTTAATGAGAACTAATACTTTTTAGTCCCTTTCTTCGGACCAGAAAGCAGAATTCAGACGTATTCAAAATGTCAATACTTTTTAATATGTTTCAGTTCGACATTTTATACAGGGAGATTATCCGCCGCGGACAATAACTCTTCTACTTTTCATCTAATATTCAATGATGATAAGAATGTCCGGAGCGGACGGGATGCTGAATGCGAGAAGCAGGACGAAGGGAACGGGACGCGGGCAACGATACATCATGCGTCTCCAGACATGTCAAATCGTTTATTATAGAGGAGACTTTGATACGGCAACATGTATTCGAAGATTTAACATTTAATACGTACTTTTATTTTTCCTGCTCCTCCTCCCTCCCCCCCTCGCGCTCTTTTAGACCTCTGAGCATAATCTGGCATAGAGATGGCAACTGTGGTTGCAGCACGGACATAAACCGCCTGAAAATGGACGTAGCACGGACTTCCACCACATGCAGATTTTACCACCGAGACCTGAAAGTGGATGTACCATCGTAGTTCCCCTCTCAAAATGGATGCAGATGGCGTCCTTTCCCAGTGCGGAAAGTCGGTGTCGCAGAAAATGTCGTGTCGGCCGCTCTTTCAGGTTCCTCTCTGCTTTTACATATTAAAATTATAAATTCATTATTTTGTGCTTTTTGCGTTTTATGCACGCATTAATACTAGACTAATGTTTGTACTTCATGTTAACACGACCGTTACGGAATGTCAACGCATACGAATTGTTTAACCAACAAGATAACGCAGTTCATTTACCATACGGTGCTATGGTAAGAGAACATTTTACAAGGTTGTTGTTTTTAACAGCTCAGCGACAACTGTCGCCACCGTCAAGGCGGAGTTCTCGGCTTAAAAAACAGGAGCCTTGAACGAGCATCGTATATTGTCCAGTATCTTATATTTCCTACGCTATCTTATATTGTTATTACAGTATCTTATTTTGTTACTTTTCTTTTCTGCACAGTTACATTTCTATAAAATTATGTTTGCACGATTGTTATCTATGTATATATTGGTAAATATTTAAACTGACAGAATCAAATCATCGAGTCGTTGTGAAGAAACATTGATTTTTTGAAAGAGTCGGATGTACCGCGCGCGCATGTCCACGTATTTTCTTTGTTTAAAAATAATATAGAAAGAAATGCGCATCCTCTTCTTTAATCTAAACAATTTTATTGAGCTGAATAACATATAATAGTGCGATATGTATATATATCATATACATACATAACGCATGCACGCGCACGCATACACACACACATACACACACACACACACACACACACACATACATACATATTTCGGTTTATAAATCTATACATGTATAAATGATAGAGACAGAATACACATATTATATATAGTTGTGTAAAAAGTATATAAGTGTAATGTATTATGTATGATGTGAGTATAAATATACATAAATATATATTTATGTGTGTATATATTTACAATTTTCTCGGAGATCATTTATTCACCATAATGTATAAGATATATATTACAGACGGCTAGTACCTTAAACCTAAGAGAATATCTTATAAAATATGTCACATAATTATATGTAAATAAATTATCGTTGTAAGCGGTATCCGTAATCTCTTAACGACCTCATGTACCATATAAATATCGCGAGTTTATTGATTACTTATATACAATATGCCATGCATAAAAAGGTCTATCGTCTACGGAAGTATCGCCGCAGATTATTAAATCAAACGGGAACAATGCGCACTGTAGAGAACGGAAGGTGGTAAAACGATACACACGTTCATTCTTACTTTACTGCGTAGCATCACTCCGCAAACAGTTAATATCCTGTTTAAAGATACAACAAAAGGTCATATTTACAGTTACAACTGTATATTTACATAACATTGATCGATAAGTAGCGATCTCCTATGTCTAGCGCGAGAAGTCGGCAGTGTGTTATATAAACGCGTGTTTTATCTGTTATTTTAAAACTAATTATCTAAAAAACGTAGCTTACGTACATATATATACATATATATATATATATATATATATGTATATATATATATATAAAATTCTCACACAACACTACTTTACAATCTCTTTCTCTCATTCACTCCCTCTCTCTCAACCGCACACGTACTGCACATATGTATTCGCATGGTTGGCGGGCAATACATTATGCATATATAATAATGTATAACACATGTAGTATAGATAAATATATCTATGTATGAGCGGGGAAGAAATATTTTGCTTCACATACATGTGAAGAATAAAAAAACATCTCGTGTTGTTTTCCAAAATGTATTTACTTAAAAATACAATGAAAGTTTCAGTTTTGATGGAATGGGCAGAAATATATAGTCTGTGGTGTCGGTTACTGTTAAGTTGAAAGAGATGATGCGATGGTATCCTGTACAAAAGTAGCTTGAACACACAAACCAAATTCTTAGCCTAGGATGTTCGTTTACGTTTAAATCGTAGACACGTGTCGCGTTACCAGATTTTACGTCTTAAACTCCCTTTCATGCTTACCTAACGAACGTAGGGATGTAACGGTATGTGGGCGATCAGCCTGATTGATTGTAAGACCCGTTAGCACCAGTGAGTGAATTTTCCGAATCGCGTCGAATACTCGAGCACGACGTGCACCGTTGTACTCCGTCGAGCTTGACGTACAAGACGCAAGTCTCTTTCTTCTTCTCTCTCTCTCTCTCTCTCTCTCTCTCTCTCTCTCTCTCTCTCTCTCTCTCTCTCTCTCTCTCTCTCTCTCTCTCTCTCTCTCTGGATGTATATACGTGTATGTATGTATGATGTGTATATATGTGTGTGTGTGTGTGTGTGTCATGTATGCATGTTGCAAACGGGGCTTGGCATTATATTACAATAAAATTAAATGGAGCTATGCTTATAGTATGTATGTATAGTATACTATGATCGCTAAAGTATTCATTTTGCTCAGGCACCTGTACTTTAAGATAGTCCTTTGCCAACAATCATCGTCAAGTTACTATCTTGAAGCAAACACGTGTGTAAATACAGCATAGCGGATTGCGTATAAAACCGTAGATTAACAGAGACTGCCGGAGATGGTATGATTTCTACGCATCATCATCATCATCATCATCATCATCATGGTGATCATCGTCGTCATCATCATCATCATCATCATCATCATCATCATCATCACATTGACATCGGTCGTTGGACGCGTTACATGTATGTACTCATAAAGAAATATTCGAATTTTCGTGTTCTCCGTATTGTATCGGGTAATCGCGAATCGAGACTTTCGCAAGTATTAACGTATACACGGTCCAACTCCCGCCATCTCCTCGGTTGCCATACAGCAGGATCTTAGTCCGTGGGTGGGAGCAGCCTTTTACACACTGCCATCTCCGCATAGTTCTTTTTTTTTTCCATTTTCATTTTCAGATATCAAACCCATCACACTACTTATGAGAACGAATTCATTTTCTCTGATCTAACTGCGTTTTATTTAACTATCTCATTCGAAAATATTTGTACATTAAAACGGGACATCCTCTCGCATCCAAATTATCATTACCTTTATTTAATTATTATGCAGCTATGGTACAATGGTATCGTAACCGCAATGTCTCTTCACCCTTTTTTCATTTACTAACTCCCGAAATAAGTAGCGGTATGGACCTGCCAATCGCAACGATTCACCGACTCCAGCAAAAAGAGTCATTTCTCTCTCGCTCTCGCTCTCTCTCTCTCTCTCTCTCTCTCTCTCTCTACCTCACGGTAATCTCGGCAACCAGTGAGTAATCATCGTCATCGAGTTGTTAAATAATAAAAAGATCCTCGAGTACCGTTGCGACACGTGTGCGTGCGTGGACGCGCACGCGCCGCAGTATTTACGTCAGTGTGTGTACGTGTGGGTATGAGCGTGGCAAAAATATGAGTACGTCAGAGTATATCGAGATACCGATTCCACTGGAGGGGAAAAAAAAAAAGAAAAATTCACGTGGAAAACCACAAGCGAATGAACAAATACTGCCAACTTATTCTGCGACGAGTCAACGAACCATTGCTAAGAGTTAGTCCACATCGAGATAAAAAGATCACGACACGTAAAAGTAATCGGAACGTCTCGAATTACATTCAGGTAAGAACATCATCGCTATACGGGGAGAGTACTCAACACATAATTGTCACACAATAGTAGTCGCGTAGCTCGATATTTTCTTTTGTAATTTTCGCGTCATGCAACACACGGCAGTTCTGGAGTTATAAATATATATTTATCTACATGTAATTGAACTCTTATCTCCTACAAAAAATGATATTGTTGCTTTAAAGGAATCGAGAAGGGTGATGGTGCCCCTTACAGCAATTCAACTGGCGAGTTGACTGTTCGATGCTCTCCCTTATCTATGCCCAAGCCTAAAGTGTAACAACCTCCCTCCGCTATTACGTTAAGTTTACATAATAATATTCATTAATAATAAAATGTTTCTTATTCCGTAACTTTATACATACTATGTATAATTATTATGCAATATTAAAGTCATATATTTACTCATCCACACTACCTGACGCGAGCGTTGCATTAAACCTTATCTCAATTTCGGTCTCTACATCAAACAGGAGCACGAAGCGAAGTCACGACTATTTTTGTTAGATCCTTTTTCGTTCACTCTTTCATTTCCTTTTTTTCCTTTTTCTTTTGTATATATTGAATGTCGAGAGATGCCCTTTCGTGCCTATTTTACTTTATTTATTTGTCTCATTCACATCGCGCGAAAGTGTACACAACACGCACAATTGTATACGATATAGCCTCGCGCTCCTGTGAAGACACTGCAATTACCGTTTCCGAAGAAAAACTCATATCACACGCACAAGGTGAGAGACATTCGTCGAACTACAAACGTAAATTTGATTTTAATGTAAAAAAAAAATCACCATAAATGTCCATTTTACACTATTTAAATATAATAGTTTTTTATTTCTTAAATAAGTTTTTATTATAAAACTGTCGCGCGAAGAAAGCCAGATGACGGCAAATACCGGTTAGTAGGTGGTTCGGATAAAACGATAGATTCGTCTTGGGAACAGTGTGTGTGTGTGTATGTGTGTGTATGCGTGTGTGTGCGCATGTGTATGTGTGTGTGTGTGTGTGAACGAGACGCACGATCGAACGACCAGTGAACGCACGGACGGGCGAACAAACGCACGTGCGTGCGAACAGCCAAAGTGAGAGCCTAGATAGAAAATAGGATCAAACTCAACGAGTTCTCAGGACGAATATATGGTTATCATTCAAACTACCTAACAGCATTTGGTGACGGCTAGACGACCAGAATTGCGATGAGCCAAGACAAATAGAATTGCGACCGCATCTACTGCGTGTCAGCCCGCCACAATTCCGGTGAGGTGGTAATTTTTACTCGTATATCGGAAGGATCCAGTAACGTGGATTGGGCACGATGGATATCAACATTATTACCAACCACTCAATATGAGAGTAAGTTTGCTGAGACTGCCGAAAAATCGACGATGATGTCGTCACGTGCCTAACGCCTCCCTTCTTAATTACATATTTTTCCCCCTTTCTTCATTATGCGTCTTCCTCGTCGTCGTCTTCTACACCTTCCACGTCACCTTCCGCATCATCGTCCTCCTCTTCTGCAATAAAATAACAAATATGACTCACCGAGAAAAACTCGAGTTCATCGAGAACGAGGTTCACTGATCAAAGAAATTGTTTATTTACCATCGCCTTCTTCCAAGTCGTCTTCGCCTTCCGGTATGTCATCGTCCTCATCGTCTTCCTCACCGTCACCGTCTACCTCCTCCTCTTCTTCAATCTCCTCTTCCAATTCCTCCTCTTCTACTTCACCGTCACCATTCTCCTCTTTCTTCTGTTTCTTCGTCTCTTCATTCTTCTCCTGTAACATACATAAAGAGATTAATTCGAGAGAAACTCAAAACTAAAAGAAAAGAAAAAAAAAATCCTTGCAGATTATAAGCACATCTCAACGCGCGGAGAGGAGTAGAGAATTTTGCGTGATATTCATCCAATCTGCCCGCATAAAGCATTTTGACGCCAAAGCTCCATTTTTTCAACTTTGAAGCAACGACAAGGTGGAGAGAAAATTCGGCGGCGGCAGCGGCAGCGGTAGCGGCGGCGGCGGTGGCGGTGGCGGTGGCGGTGGTGGCGGCGGCGGCGGCGGTGACGACGACGACGACGACGACGACGACGACGACGACGACGACGACGACGACGGCTGCGGGGCCGCGGCGGGGAAGACGATAGACAAGGACAGAGAGGAAAGAGCATGTACGTATGGCGGGCGAGGAGGACGAGAGGTCCCTTCCCGCCAAGAAATACGGTGGCGACGAAAGGGAGGTGGTGGGGATTTTCCCTACCCGTTAAAATACGGCGGGGCAGGAAAAGGGAAATGGCGGAGGGAGCCGCGTCTCTACCGAGCGATCCGGCACAGTGCCGAAAACGCGAAGAACAGGTAGTAGTGTAGAGACCGTGCATCGCGACTTTGCCGATAAACGCTTAGCGTTAAACGAAGCCTCTCTCTCTCTCTCTCTCTCTCTCTCCCTCTCTCTCTCTCTCTCTCGCGCGCTCGCGCGCGCGCGAGACGCTTATCGACGCAAGCCGCTGATTCGAATGAACGAAACTCGAGGTGATTTCATAATCGGGCGAATTTCCACCAGAACGAACGATCTCGAGCGACAGAGGGTGAGACGGTTGCTGGACGCGGGAGAATCCACCGGCGCCCATCGTCGGTCACCCACGCGCAACCTTAATTCTCCACCGAGAGAGCTGTAATGTAGAACCATGCCCTTGATCCAGTCCCCATGGTAGTGCCGTAGTAATACAACGGCCATAACGCAATAAGCATCATAGTTTATCGATTTCGGTAGGAGGGGGCGAAGGGGGAGGGAACAAAGGGGGGAGAGGAGAAGGGAGAGAAAGGGAGACGACTGCCCCAACGGCCGAGAGAACGCGCGCGGGGTTTGCTCCGAATTTATTCGCGCGTCTGGAAACATCTTGTCAGCTAGAGTGGAATGTACGTATATTCCAAAGTCGCGTTCTCAGAACACCATCGCGATTGCGATAGTGCGATTTATCGCGAGAGGCGAGGCGAGGCGAGAGCCGCTGAGGAAAAAACGCGCTAAGGAGCGCATCCGCTTTCAACTATCGTGCGTCGTCTCCGTGAGACTGTTTCCGACATTCGACCAACGCGCGCGCCTTCCGCCGGCGTCGCTCCGCTTTTCGCACGGCAACGAGAACGAACGAACGAACGAACGAACGAACGAACAAACGAGCGAGCGAGCGAGCGAGCGAGCGCAGAAAGAGGGAAAGAGTCACGCCGGTGTAACGCCGGACTCGTGGCCATACGGCGTTGCTGGCCAACCATGGTGGCGGTGGTGTCGGCGGCTGCTTGGCGTAATAGTATACACGCGCGCGCCGCGTTCGTATCGGCGGGTACGAGAAAGCGGCTTCGGATGCGCGCGCGAAGCTGCGCCGACCAATCGGAAACGCGGAGACCGGCGACGCGCGCGGTGAGAAGCCCACGATGATTGGCAGATGACGAAGGCGCACGCCGTGGCGGGGATACATTCGCGCTACGTAAAACCTCGCGCAAAGCGAGCACGACGAGAGCGAGAGCGAGAGAGAGATAGAGATAGAGATAGAGAGAGTGAGTGAGACACAGAAAGAGAGAAAGGGGGATAGGAAGGAGGAAGACACCGGGGCAGTGTGCCCGAGTGTCGTGCAACGCGATGCTTTCGTGTAAGAGCACAAATCTGAAACATAGAGACCGACGCGACGGCACGATACTCCGCGAGGCCGACGTCACGTGGCGTGACGGTGGAGCGAGGGAGGAGGAATCGATGGCGTCCAGATCGCGATTGATATCGCCGCACGGCGATCGGTTGGCAATAATGCCGGAAGTAATCGATGCGTGGCGCGCGATTCGCTTTCGTGGTGGAAGCGAGAGTGCGTCAGAGCGGGATCGAGACGTTGAATCGACGCTGAATCAACGTTACGCTCTGTCCCTCCCTCTGTTCCCGCCTGTTCTCTTCCCCCTTCTCTCTCTCACACACACACACACACACACACTGTTCGGAGTAATCATATCGCCATATACGGAATCGACCTGTTGCAATAAACTGCTAATGAAGAATCGGTGGTTACCGACTACGTTCTACAAACAATGGAAACCCGATCGACAAGCTGACGCGCGCGCGTGCGCACGCGCGCGTTACTCCGAATCTGTCGATCACTCTCGTTGCAATCATCGCCCATCTATCCTCCTCGGTCGACGAGTAGCAAATGTTCCCGACGCGAATGACAGCGATGTATTCGTGTTGTCGGTGCCGTTAGACGACGCCGTCGCCGTCGCCGCCGCCGCCATCGCTTGTTATGCTCGCGCGCGATTACCTATCTGCCCGTTCTCAATCACGAGGTCTCGCCAGATAACCCAACGACGCTCATAACCTATCGCATAGACTCGCTCTCGCGTTTCTTCTCTCCTTTACCAGCCGATCGACGCAATGAATAGCGGTTACGTAATTACCGCGTGACGTTTAGGAATACTGGATTATCGGCGAGAGAGATCGGCGATGTCTCCGCGGCGAGGCGGGCGGGCCGCTGCGAAGGAAATTTGACTGTCGGCGGCCGAGGATCGTGATAGTCGCCGCCTAGCGGGGGGCTCGCGGTTTAGGCGACGGTGGCGAAAGCACCGGAGGAAAACGAACGAATAACGGGCACGACGACCAATCGGCCGGGACGCGGCGGCGTTCGAAACGCCGTGGCGGCACTAATTAAGATAATTAAACGATAAAAAGGAACGCGCGCGAAAACCGGCCGCTCGCGAGGCGCACGATGATAACCATTGAATGCAATAAGTTATTTCTGGCTCGTGGCACATCGATCCATAAACTGCGTTATCCGATCGACGCGACGCCTTTCCCGCCTTCTCTCGTATATCGAACGCCGGCCACCGCAGTCGCAGTCGCCGCCGCCACCGCCGCTGCCGCCGCCGCCGCCGTCGTCATCACCGTCGACGACGTGACTCACTTGAATCAGCAAAGTCAGTCGAAAATATCGATATCAGAACGATACGCGGCAACTTCAGAAGGCTTTGCAAAGTGAACCGAAAAATCCAGCGCGCTGCTCTCCGCTCGAAATGTGTTTCCCTCTCGCGCGTTCAAACGCGATTTTCTGCCTTGACCTCGGATTTTCTGCCTTTTTTCTCTTTTTCCCTTCCCCTCCTCACTCTCTCTCTCTCTTTCCTCCCGTCTTCCGGAGCGATAGTAATCACGCGTATATTCATAGATAGTGTTGTTCTTCAAAGGAACGCTCGTGCGCGTCGGTAACAGCGCACGTTCGACGCCGCTTCCGAAGAGACGCGCGCCGTCGTCGCCTGTCCTTTTCCCAAGTCTCGTGTTCTTTCTCTCTCTCTCTCTCTCTCTCTCTCTCTCTCTCTCTCTCCCCCTCTATGCCTTCTCTTTTCGTCCTCCGCCTCCTCCTGCTTCTCTCTTCACCTCGTTTATTCGACCGCGCGCGATCTAGCGAATTAATAGATACTCTCAGGAGGAGTCATCGACGTAATAAAGCCGCGTCAACTTATGCGTACCGTGCGTATCGTATGTACACATTGCGTGCTGCCCCGGTCTTTCCACGTGACGTGCCGAGAAAGACGCCGACGCCGCGAGACCGGCCAGAACCGATCGTCGTGTCGCCGCCGTACGTGTGCAGCTGCGCGCGACTACGATTTTTGCGAATTTCCGCTGGCGTCCATTACGTCTTACGCGTAGGAAACGCAATCGCACGGTAAATTATCGGCTAAAAATAAGCCCCCCTCCTCCCTCTCGTCGGCGTATCGGCGACGCGCCCGACGGTACTGCCACGATCTAAGATGAAAAATCGCAGCAACGATGTTTTCTCGAAGGTTCGTAGTAACGCGCCGCTGCGCGCGACCGCCACAGCCGCGAAAAGAACAGGGAGGCAGGAGAGCACACCGGGTATATAATGCACGGCGTTGCCGCTAGCTGCGCAAGTGGGGTACCTTCGACGAAGAGTGAGAAAGACAGACAGAGAGAGAGAGAGAGAGAGAGAGAGAGAGAGAGAGAGAGAGAGAGAGAGAGAGAGAGAACGAACGAGCGCGCGCGAACGAGCGAAGGAGAGAGAGAGAAAGAGAAAGACAGAACGAGTCACACCGCCACCGCCACTATACACTGGCAGAACCGAGGACAGAAAGAGAAAGACAGAGAGAAAGAGAGCGAGGGAGAACGAGCAAGATATAGACGAATGGATAGAGAGAGAAAAAAATAGACAGATGGGGGAGAGAAAGAGAGAGAGAGAGAGAAAAGTGAGAAAGAGCGAGCCCGGCAGAGGGAGTGAGAGGAAAAGGAAGCCTTCGTCGCGGTGTTTATGCACGCAGATCGGTAAACAATTTCAGGGCAACGCGTCGACCTGGAGTAGATACGCGTCGGTCGTCTATCGATCGACCGTCCTGCGTGATTAACCCTCTTATAGCGAATTATCGATCAATTACGTCGGAAAGAGAACGCGTACGCGTGTACGCGTGGGAGCATAACGGAAGAGAGAGAGAGAGAGAGAGAGAGAGAGAGAGAGAAAGAGAGAGAGAGGAGAGGGAAAAGAGATAAAGTGCAAACGAACGAGCGAGCGAGCGAGCGAGAGAGAGAGAGAGAGAGAGAGAGAGAGAAAGAACGATGAACGCGGGCTTGGTTTCGGCCGCCATAATGGAAACCGACAGCGACGAGTGACGGTAGTAGGATAGTAATGGTGGCAGACTACCGCGACGATCGGAAAAATGCGCGGGACGTCCGCTTTTCCGGATGGCGACGCTACATTGGCACGTATAAAAATGGCGTCCGACGAGCAAGTCTATCTGTGCACGAAGTAGCGAGCAGCAAGAGCAGTATGTCGTGTGCGGCTCGGAGCCTAGCTGCCGCGAAGAGGCGAACTTGCCGGACATGGAGAGGAAGAGGGATAGAGATAGGAGAGAGACGTGCGCGAAACGAGCACATGGCGCTAGCAGCCGCCGAGATTCTCCTTGTCCTTCTCTGATCGTTCTCCCTCATCTGTTTCTCTTTCTCTCTCTCTCTCTCTCTCGATTCTGTTAAATAACGCGCTCCTTCTCTCTCTCTCTTTCTCCGTGTCCCTTTCCATACACGCACGGACACGTAGGCTCTCTCGCGTTACCTCGAATTTCAACTTTGGACACGCGAAACGCAGAACTGATAATTATAGACGGCGGCCGGTAGAGGAGTAGTCATCGCCATCGTCATTATCATCATCGCCGTCGCCGTCGTCATCGTCATCGTCGTCGTCGTCCTCGTCCTCGCTATCGTTGTCTTCGTCCTCGTCATCATCATCATCGTCGTCGTCGGCCATCGAGCGAGCAGAAGAACAGAACACGAGAAAGAGAGACAGAGAGAGAGAGGAGAGAGAGAGAGAGAGGGAGAATCGTCGCGCTCGCGCGGCGGCCCGACGAATAATGCAATGGCGTCCCTTGCGCGCTCTTACGCGCTCGTAGCGAAAAAACACTGCGCGCCGGAAAAGACGTGCCTTGCACGCGGCGCGTCCGATCGAGCGAACTCGACTACGTTCGGGGTTGCTCGCGAACGAAAATATGGAGTCCGGTCGGAGAAACGCCGGCCGGCGCGGCGTTCTCTCTCACCGTGGTTCCGTCGCCCGCTCGGCGGCGCGAATCACAGAGCAACGAAGAGCGAGAGCACACACATTTCGACACGTACCGTCGATCGACGACGATAGTACGTGGAAAACGCACATCGGCGGGAAAATTCGGCGCTGTTCGCGATCTCGTTGGAGCGCGTCCATGCGATTCAATGATTTCCCGACGACGACGACGACGACGATGACGACGGCGGCGGCAGCGGCGGCGGCGGCGGCGGCATGGCGCGCTTCGCGATGAGCGTGCTTCGTGTGTATTATCGTACCGCGAGGGAAGAGAGAGAGAGAGAGAGAGGGGGGAGGGAGGGGGGAGAGAGAGAGAAAGAGAGAGAGATCACCGTAACGCGCGTTCACACAGACGAAAAGGACGATCCCCCGACGATTGACGCTCGCGAGGAGCATTTTACTCACCTCGGCTGGCCTCTTGATCCCTTTGATTTCGCACTTTGCGTCCCCGGATGCCTTATCGTTCTCCGTCACCTTCTCGACCGCGACCTCGTTGTTTTCCTTGGTGCTCATGTCGGCTGAATTGTCTTCTGCGCGTCGATACTTCCCCGATAAACTCTGTTTCCGCGACTCGAACTCAATTCGAGTGTACTAGAAAGCGACGACGACTACGGCGACGGCGGCGGCTGCGGCGTGTACGCGTTTTACGATATCTCGAATACGTGTCCTCACGCGACGTTGGCTTCCGGCGGAATGCCCGAGAGAGCAGCGTCGTCAGGCGAAGACCCGAGGGGCAACGAGGGAGAGGGAAAATGCGGTGGAGGGGAAAAGAGTGAGCGAGCGAGCGAGCGAGAAACAGGGAGATAGAGCGCGAGAACAAGAGAGCGAGAGAGTGGGAGGGAGAGGGTGAGAGAGAGAGAGAAAGAGATCGAGTGAGAAACCGAGAGGGGGCGAGAGTGGCGGAGGAGCCGAACCAGTCAGGAGTGGAGCGTGCCGTGTACCGACGACTGTGGCGCGAATAGCGCAAAGCCGACTACTACCCGATCCCAGCTCCTAGCCATGTCCAACCTGGCTTTGTTCAAAAATGAAGATGGCGCGGGTTTGAAACTCGATAAATCCCTGATTGGTCGGCCTCTCATGACACTGTAGACTGATGCCGGTGTGCGCGATCGGTCGTATTATTGTGCCGCATGATCTTTCGGGATTCCCCGAAGGGCTTGAGTACGTAACGCGCCCGCCCGGCGCATGAATAAAATTAAATCCCGCGGAGGACGAGGGGTTCGAGAGTTCGTGGCCCGAGCGGGACGTCCGGTTCGAGGCTATGTCGCTCGATTCAAATAAGCCTCGGCGCTGCGAGTCGTCCTACGTGGGTTTCGGCTGGTCCACGTGTTCTCGCGAAACAATCGATGCACGCGCGACGCGCGACGCGAAGAGCGTGCGAAATAATCGCGCGCGGCCGCGACGATCGACGCGTCGAGCCGAAGCGTGCGAAGCTTACATTTTCGCGTGGCACGTGCGACAACACAGCCGCACGCACGAATACTTATGGCATGGACTAATCTATAGATAGAAGGAATCGACGCTGTATGTGCAGCACGCAGACGCGTGGCTGTCAGTCGAAATCGAGGTGTAACTTCCTCACGAGAGAGAGAGAGAGAGAGAGAGAGAGAAAGAGAGAGTGTTTTCTCTCGTGTAGGATTGTCCCGCCGTCGAGACCGCGCGAGTCGCGCTCCATCGCGCGTCCATCTTAATTAGCTTGAGTTATTGCATCGTTTCCGTCTCGAGTCGCACATCGAACGATCGTCGATCGTCGCGCTCTCTTCTCGCCATGCTGCCACGCCGCGTGTATGCGTCGAGGATAGTCCGATAAAAACAAAGAAACACTTATCCGGTCTTCCCCTTTAAAAGCAACATATATATTTATCGAATCATATATATGTATATATATATATATATATATATACGCATGCACGTGTAGATTGTATTGCGCGTCAATTGAGCTTGTATAAACGGCATTGTTGCTCATCACGAAGACGACTGCTCTCCGGTGGTTGAGTAAGAATTGCCAGACTAAAGTCGCGCATTTTATTTATATCTCGCATAACGCTATTAATGAAGGGCAGCTTAATTTAAAATTACGCTTATTGATTGAATGTCTTATATATTAAACCAATTTTGATGTCGGTTGTTGAATGGCGTGCGTGTAAACGCAATCGCAGTTTCGCGCTGCTCCGAACCGGATATCCGGCGTATCGTAGACGTCCCTCTCTCACTTTGCTTTTTACGTGCAATCAATTTCGCGAAATATTGAAATGTATGTCGTCCTATTAATATTTACAAGTGTACATCGAAAAAATTTTATTCAGGTTTCGGAATTTGTTGCATGGCGAACGCATTGCACGCACGCGCGCTGCAACGCGCAGGCGCGCTGCACGCGCGCCGCGCCACGCCGTCATTATATCCTGTGAACTGTCGACACTACGTACTGTTCTCTCTCGTACGGTTCTGACGAAACAGGCAACATGGTAAGTTGAGATGTGATTTTTGTGACTGTCTCTGATCCGCGTATATTTTGGCGATCGTTACGTCTGTTGCATCGCGAGATCGTTTTTTATGCTTGAATAATATCCGTCAGAATTCCTTGTTAATATTTTCTGTACTTGCGAGAATTAACTTTCTATGTTATTCTCGGCGACATAACCTAGTAGGCAAGGACGACCGTGGAAGATACGTGTTTTGGTCTATCGCTCTGCAACATCGCGTACATTTGATCGAGTTTGATAAATTATCGATAAATAATGTGAAACTTGAGGACAACTCACATCGACGATGAGCAACGAAGTGGCCATTTTCAACATTTTCTAAACAGCCTTCGTTGATTCTCACAGGTTAATGTGCCGAAACAAAGACGTACTTTTTGCAAAAAATGCAAAGTGCACAAGAACCATAAAGTGACGCAGTATAAGAAAAGCAAAGAAAGACGAGCGTCGCAAGGTAGAAGACGTTATGACCGTAAACAACAGGGATTTGGCGGTCAAACGAAACCTATTTTCAGGAAGAAGGTTTGTGACATGCGTATACTTGTATCATCATGAAATATCTTTAGATAAATTGCAGTTTAGTATTATGTTTATTGTTTAATATACAGTATCGTACAGTTGTTATAACTTTGATAATATGTTGCTGCTGTGCAAATTTATAAATTATAGTTATACCAATACTTACGTAGGTTGAATTATTTATAAGAATATTTATAAATAATTAAATGTTTACAACAGTTTATAGTCAATATTAATGATATTGATAACAATTATGTATCTTTAGTGATAAATATTTTTTCCTATTTTGACACGTTTCATTATATCATTATAGGCGAAAACTACAAAAAAGATTGTACTCAGAATGGAGTGCACCGAATGCAAGTACAGGAAACAAATACCACTAAAAAGATGCAAACATTTTGAGTTAGGAGGCGACAAAAAGAGGAAGGTGAGTACAAACACATTCTAAGCGATATATAGATAAGAATTAAATATCTTTTTAGAGAGAGATTAAGGATAAAACTTTTGATTTCAGGGACAAATGATTCAATTTTAGGATTGACGTGTTCTTTCTTCTGTATTTAACAACAAATAAAATAAATCTACAAGGATTTGTATACCTATTAATTTTTTTATTTAATAACTTCTATTCATCTTGATTCTCACTGTTATCTGATGGCTGTTGCATAGAAACTATCTGTTGTGGATTGCTAATAGGATAAAGGAAAAAAAATAGGAAAATTATTTTGATATGTTTGTACATCATTGAGAAACCAAGTGTCAAGATTGTGCAAGTGTAACAATTGTTTCTTGTCAAACTAAAATTATACTTTATAACAAGAAAGAGGATATTTGTTAAATTCTGTGGTGAATATTTACATGTGCATAGGTATCGGTATACATTTAATATTGGCATTTAATTTCAAGTACAAATAATTACCAACTGTCTCAAATACAATAATCTGTATGAAAAATTATCTCACTCCAGTATAGATGCGTCCAGTCCTTCTTGCTCCATCTTTAATTTTACTGCTTGCTTTGGTACACCAAAATGAATCATTTTAAAATATTTCTCATAACGGGGATCTTTATTTGTGGTATGTTTGTCTTTCTCTTCATCTTTAGATTCTATCTCACTATTATCAATTTCATTTGCTTTGTGTATTTCTACCTCCTCCGACTTACTCGTGTTATTCTCATTAACATTATCCAATTGTTTATGATATTCTTGTTCTAAACCAGGTATAGAGGATAGCTAAGCAAAGAAGCAAAGTGAGACATTTGAAAAAGATTTCAACTCCGTGAAAGATAATTTATTTGTGTGCGCAGTGGATTTTGTTTCGCTGCAATTTCTCACACACACACACACACACATACTCGTATACTAAAAAATATTCACATACCCGCGACTCTAGTACCTCTAAAGACGCTTCTAACTTTTGCAACTTGTTTTCAAACTCATACAGTCTTTCCTCACAAGACAGGGCAAACTTATTCAGAAACGTAACAGTATGGGTAATAAAGTGATTTATAAAAGAGACTGTTCGCTTTTGATTGATCGGCGGTACCTAGAATACAAATCATTTCAGGTCTGCTCTCTTCTGTATTTCGTATCGTTATCATGAGAGCATTATAATGGACGACATCGTCGTTTTCGGCCGCTGCCGACAGCATGCACGAGAAATGATAACGAAGCGAACGTTATTAGAATCTCACTGTCGACACCTTTGTATAATCTATAGTCGGTTCAATTATCGGTATTTTATAGTCACTCATCATGCAGCACAGTTCTTCGGTTTCAGTTTGACAAACCGTCAACTTGCACTGAAATTATACTGGAACAGGCACTGCCTCTATAAGACCGATAAGCGAAAAACTTGGCAGAGACAGATGTGTGATCTGGGGATACCTATCTCTTTCTAATGGGTCGACACATGCGCACAAGCATGGAGATACAGGCTGATCCAAAAAGACAAACATGTTTTGTTTCAATCATTCGAGGATTATCATGTGAGTATGAAGAAAATTTAAAATTACATTTTAAATACTACTGCATCTTGTGCGATATAACATTTTTAATATTATATATATATATATATATAACTTCATTAATTCGCCGGGACTTATCCTTTGAACGACGATCATACACTTTTGAATCTGACTTACGACAAAGATATACACATCTACAGAATTTAGCTGCGTTCCGAAATTCACTGCCAGTACAGAAAATACATAGTTTGTGTCACGTATACTATAAAATTTCAGTGCTGGCAATGAATATCGGAACGCAGCTTTTGTCTCTGTCTGCCACACGTTCACAGAGTGCCTCTTTCAGTATACAGTTCTACTTCAGCTACTGATGACAGATATTTTGCCTCACTGCATGTCGGGTATGTAGAGTAGAAACTGTGTATCAACTTGGAGGACTCCTTAAGCTGCAGTCCTGTGCGACCGACGAGGTAATATAAAGACTGACAGCCCTGGATAAATTGTCAGTATCAGCTAAAGGTCATTCTACAATACGTGTCGTAAGTTGTAAGCCGTAAGAACTGACCAATTATAGCCGATTATTTTGGTAATAATCGACTGTGATTCGCCAATTCTTACGGCTTACAATTTAGGGCACGTATTGTAGAATGACTTTACGAGAGGGGCCCAAAGAGCCCGCAGGTAATTGAAGAGCGATGATAATACCGACTGCTTTAGTTAGTACCCTCAAGATAATACAGCTAGCAAGTATTGCCGGTGCACGGCAAGGGGAAGATAACACGCCGCTATTCATATTTTATCACGTCGCTCGACGCAAACCGCTAGCAGTTGCTCAATCGACTAGGGCTGCGTTCCGATATTTACTGCCAGTATTGACAATATATACTTTATGTCACATATATTATAGATTTTCAGTACTGGCAGTGAATATCGGAACGCAGCCTAGGCCACGCTGTGAGACCCGAACGGCTGCGACGCTTCTCCAATCATTCGTTCCGGCGCGCACTTACTCGTTAGAATTCTGTAATTAATAACTGCATAACTGTTAAGAATATCGCTAAACGGTACGGAACTTTTATGAAGGCTGGTAAATTGTGATTTGAGTCGCGGTTGCACTTTATAGAAGCCGGTAAATGTTGTGGTTTAAGTCTCGGTTGAAGATTTAGAAATCGATGAATTATGATTTGAGTCTTGGCTAAAAGATTAAATTTGTTTGGGACCTGAATCAAATTTATTATTATATTGCGTCAATTTGGTTGCATTCGTTTCATTAAAATGCGCAAGGTATTTGAAAATAAGGAAACTTTTTTTTTTTTCGAACATTTCTGGTGGACAGAAAAATTCGGGCAAAGTCATTTTCTTCATCTGAACAAAGTACCGAATGCAATTTTAAGAATTCACAAAAAACTTGAGATTTAGATTTGATCTCATTTTACGAGTCCATGAAATTACGCAAATTCTAGATCAGGCGTTTTTTTGGGAAGTTTTAGTAGAATTATATTAGATAGTATCCGTCGAGCCAAAGAAAATGACATTTCGCCCGAATTTCGGAAATAAGAAAATTTTTTTCGAACATTCCAAATCAACTCTTGGAATTTACTCTTGGCTTCTGCGGATCCTTAAGCAGAATCCACATTTGATATCTTTGCAATGCAATGTGAACTCTTCCTAATGAGCCACCGTGCTATCCGTTAGGAGCATTGTCGTTCGTTACTGTACTGTCCGTTGTCCTTAGAGGTTAGACTCGCGATTCGGAATAGGGTACTGTGGAGAACAGTGGAGTATTGCTTGTAAAGCTGCTTTGACTTGGATCAGTCGCAGTGAACGTACAACTACAATCGTTTGTCGCAGTCGGGATCGGCTGTATGGAGATTTCGTGGAACGCCGGAAGTTTTTGAAGGATGGAGTCGCCGCCGACCCTGGAGGCCACTTACCAGGCCGTGTACTCTTTATATAATAATACAAATCCAACCGAGTCAATGAAAGCGTCAGTATGGTTAGGGGAGTTGCAACAATCGGTGAGTTCACGTGGTCGTTTTCATCTGTGAACGGGTCTCACCGCGTTTCGTGTGATAGCGCGGTTACTCGCGTTATCACATCGAATATAAGCGTGTGTGTGTGTATGTGTGTGTGTGTGTGTATGTGTGTGGTGTGTGTGTGTCTCTCTCTCTCTCTCTCTCTCTCTCTCTCTCTCTCTCTCTCTCTCTCTCTCGGTGCGTTTATGTTATCAGCATCGAGAATCAGCGGTATGTTAGATGCTCTTAACCTTAAGAGGAGTTATCGCTGCTTATTTGTCGCTATGATGCGATGCGAACGAATCATATTAAACGCGAAATCGGTATTGTCGATTTTACATCGATGCGTTAAATCAAGTAGAACTTTCTTAATTCTCTCCTGTCTCCTGGAGTCTCCTGGACTGTATCGTTTTCGTAAGTCAGAGGTGTCAATCACACGTCTTATATTCATGGTTAGGTTAGGCTACCTCAACCTACGTTGAGATAATAACTCGGCGAACACGCGTGCATTTTGTTGACGGTGCATCTGACTGACTTTCCTTCTTTTCCAGTTATTAAATCCGTAGAATATCAAACAATAGTACAGCACTTTTTTTACAGCAAACGACACTTCATCTATTTTCCATCTCTCCCTCCAACTGTCAATTCAAGTAAAACAAATTTGTTCCAAACATTCTCTAGTTTAATATCAATGCAAGAGATTAAGCATTTAATTAAAATCACTCACAAATTTATTGCATCTGTATGCTTGCAGGTATACGCATGGAAGATAGCTGATGAAATGCTCCATCAAAAACGGGACATGCAGTCTTGTTATTTTGCTGCGCAAACTATGCGTACCAAAATCCAACTTTCTTTTCATGAATTACCTCTGGAGGCTCACGCTTCATTGAGGGATTCATTGATGGACCATATATTGCAAATTAATGAAAATACTAATTTTGCTATTGTCACACAGGTTTCTATATATATTCTTACTTTAATATCTTTTAATATGATTTTGTTACAAATGATTCTGTTTAATTTTTACTAATTGTCTTATTTTCATATTTATAGTTATGCTTAGCATTAGCAGATCTGGCTCTACAAATGTCTTCATGGCAAAAACCAGTAGTGGATTTAATTAACAGGTTTGGAGGAAGCACTACTTATCTGTGGCCATTGCTTGAGATACTGACGGTACTTCCAGAGGAAGTAAATTCCAGATCACTTAGGTATTGCATATCCTTTATTCAATGTCAGAAGGAAAGGAGAGGAGGTAACAGGAGTTGACAAAAATCAAGATCATCTTGTTTCTTGTAGATTAGGAGCTAATCATAGGCAACATATATTGTTGGAACTTAAAGCAAGTGCAGATATCTTGACAGAATTTTTGGTATGTATGATATTATATATATATATATATATATATATATATATGTACATATATATGTAATAATTTGCTAATATATACAATAATATATGCATGTTCATTTATATCAGCATTGGTTATATAATATTTCATATATAGTGTAATTACAGAAAATGTGTCTAAAGAACGGTGGAGAAAATATACAAATCCGAGTAACGACCCTGCGGTGTTTCACCAGTTGGATCACGGTCCATGCGATACCGTTAGAAGCTGTACCCTCAAGTGATGTTGTCCTTTATACACTTCAGGTCAGTCTTTCGAGTAGATTTTCAATAGGGAGAGCCATCCTTCTCTTGCCTTTCTTTCCTCATTGGATATGTTCTTTAAAGGTACTTTACAATCATACGGAAGGCTCGCAACTGCACGAAGCAGCTACCGACTGCATTTGCGTGATTCTACAGGCGCTATATACAGATAATAATACAAATCGCGACAGCGAAAACCAGCCGAGCGTGCAGTTACAGCAGTTACAATCGTGTCTCTTCACAAGTGTAATGGACTTGGAACAACCGTATCATTTGTCCGTCGCGCACGAGGACTTGGAGAAGTAAGCTTCCCTCGGATTGCTCAGGCATGTTCGAGCAGCAGCACGAGGAGGTCTAATCGTAAGCGTAAAAATACATTGCAGAACTCTACATTACTGTCGAATATTTACGGAATTAGCTGAGACTTTTCTGGACACCATAGTGACAGGTAGCGAGGGAGGGAAGCAACATTACGGCATCAAAATTTTAGATGTTGTTCTAACGTGTGTTGGTCACCATGACTATGAGGTAGGTACTGTACTGTTGATTGCATACAAGTGAATGCATATCGATCACTTTGCATCTCTGTTTCAAGATTGGACAGATAACGTTCAATTTGTGGTATCGACTGTCCGAACTTTTGTATCACAAAAACTGCGATGATCTCAATGCTATATTTCGGCCACATATCGAGAGGCTTATCGGTGCTCTCTGCAGGCATTGCCAGATGGAGCCGGACCACGTTAGTATTTGATATAACATTTTTATTGAGATAAATATCTCGCATTAGTTCTTAGCCGGTGGCCGCACGGCAGAACGGTAATTACCAGAATTATTTGTCAATCACCAGTTGGGTCTCGTGGAAGAAGGTGTAGGAGGAGAAGAATTTGCAGAATTTCGATTTCGCGTGTCAGATCTCATCAAAGACGTAGTATTCATAGTTGGAAGTAGTCATTGCTTCCGACAGATGTTCTCGTCGTTGACTGGTGGACCTGGTCCACAGGGTCAGCCTGTACACACACCTACCTGGGATTCGACAGAAGCTGCGCTCTTTATCATGCAAGCTGTGGCTAAGAATATTTTACCGTACGTTCTTATGTTCCTCTCGCATTCATCGCGGTCAAAAGTAGCGAAGAAGATTTTTAACAAACTGCGGGTGTTTCGTCTTTGCGCGGCAGGGAAGAAAACGATGTGGTCCCAAAAGTAGTGGAAGCTATACTCAACTTACCAGAAAACACTCACATAGCTGTACGGCATACCAGTATTCTTCTGTTAGGCGAACTATGCGAATGGATAGATAGTCATCCGCGATCCTTGGGTAAGAATGCGAACATTCGACGTCGATTTGGTCGATCCACTTTCTCTCTACAGCACTCTAACCTAATCCATTATTTCAGAACCAGTGTTGAATTTCCTCTTAGCGTGTTTAAATCAAAAAGATTTAGGAAATGCCGCCTCGAGTGCTCTATTAAATATATGTACAGCTTGCCCATTACACATGGCATCACATTTCTCTGGACTTCTTCAAATAGCTTGTTCTTTGGATAGCTTTGCTATTAATAACGATGCAGCTCTTGGCCTATTGAAAGGTATTTCACAGCCATATAACTCGCATGCAAGATGTAATCGTTGAATTTATTGTTTATATACCGATATCTCTTGTCGTATCTCCTCATTTTATAATACAACATACAACACGTCCGATCATATCGCGACAGGGGTGTCTACGGTTATGGTAAGATTACCAGAGGAAGAAATCACCCGAGCAATGAGGCAATTGTGCGGTTTCCATGCGTCTTCCTTATGGACACTCTCATCTAATAGAATTCCAATTGAGAGAGGAAGAAAGACTGATCCTGTGATATGGCTGGATAGATTAGCCACTATATTTAAACATACTAAGCCTGGAATAGAGGACCCCAATAAGCCTCACCCTTGTGAAGGCATCGTCACTGAAGTGAGTATTTAATAGGAGAGGGGGAGAGAGAAAGTAACTTTTTTATATAAGACTTACTAACGTCATGATGAAGTTACTTGCGTTTATCATTATCATTTGATATTCATGCGATCATAGATGTGGCCGATACTGTCCAATGTGTGTACGACATATCAAGGGGATGTACGAATTATGGAAAGATGTTGTCGTTGTATACGTTTTGCGATACGTTGCGTTGGTCCACGATCTGCCCATTTGCTCGAACCGATCATAAAAGAGGTACTTGTTTCTATCGGATTAATGACAATTAATCTCTTATCGCTGTTTTGACTCGATGCATACTGCAATTCGTCGTATCCCTCTGTGCAGATCGTACCATTGTACACGTTAAATCAACATAGTTGCTTTTTGTACCTTGGGTCTATATTAGTGGACGAATTCGCCAAAGACGCAATGTGCGTGTGGAATCTGTTGAATATGTTACAAGCTCTCATTGGCCCTACTTTTGCTCTTCTCGAGGAAGAAAATGGTTTGAAGAATCATCCGGACACGGTAGACGATTTATTTAGATTGTGCGCCAGGTACAGTACAATAACGATCGATTGTTAACGATAATTGTTCATTCGCTAATGTTTCCTCAGCCAACTCTCGTGACGTTTCATCTCTTCTCGTACAATTCGTAGATTTCTTCAAAGAGCACCTGTTCCTCTGTTACAATCTCCCGTTATCGCGAGCGTTGTAGATTGCGCGATAATGGCTTGCAGTTTGGACCATAGAGATGCTAACAGTTCAGTAATGAAATTCTTTTACGATTTCTTGAACAGCGGTCGCAGTCACAAGGTAATTTTCTAGCGGTTGAATTTGCAAATTGTGATAAAATTTCTCTGGCAATGTGCAATTTGCGCCAGCAGATAAGCAAATTGTCTTACACTTTTGACATGTTTTTTTTTTTTTTTTAAGGATCGTCCGGATTACACGAGGCGGCGACAAATGGTACAAAGTATATTACAGGAGAAGGGTCAAACGTTTGTCGTAAAGCTGCTGCACGCTTCGGTGTTTTCGTTGCCGTCATATATGTTATCTGATGTAGCAGATGTTATTATAGAAATTATCCAACATGACAGAGAGGTAAAAGTCCGTGTGCTCCACTCTACAGTTCATAGGGTCTTTCGCTTTCTCGTGTACAAATTTTGCCATTTCGTCTCTTCTCAGCTCACGTCAAAATGGCTGGAGGAAGCTATCAAAACAATGCCGTCGCAGAATGCGAGTGGGTCTCCTACAGCCACGCCTGAACAGTTACTCGAATTTCACAATACAATTACGAGGTAAATATCACATAATACAATATGTATGTATGCCAATGCAAAATTCAGTGGTACTCGACTAATTCACGTTCTCTTATCTCTTCTTTTCCGATATATAGCGCAGAATCACCGAAATCTGTCACTAACGCTCTGCGAAATTTCGCACGTCTGTATCGCTGATGCGTCCCGCTGATGCGTGTGTGATATATTTGCTTTATTAAATTCTCCTTAAAGTAAAAATAAATTACAAAGATCTTCCATCATACTTTGTTTACGTCGTCGTCGGTGAGTAAAAATTTCGATACGGCAAAATGTAACACGATGAGTTGACGCTGTAGAAATACATCAGAAGAGCGAAAGTGAGAGAGAGAGAGAGAGAGAGAGAGAGAGAGAGAGAGAGAGAGAAAGAGAGAGAGAAATTGCAAAATTCTCTTTTATTGCTATCTATAGTGATGTTTGCAAAGTATATATCGATACGCTACATCTCGCACTTGGACATGCATGATTTTTGCGAGTAATTATACAAAACCAAAGGAAATCTCACATTTGTTTATATACTCATTTTTATCGTCTCTTTCGTGCATTTTGATATACACATTTGTGCTTTAATTTGCATGTTAATAATCGTCGACGCACGATTATCAATTTGTACAATATCTATTATTAGATATGGACAAATATTTGTACGTGTATAACGAGCATTTTCAAAAACTTATATTTTTCCTTTTATATTTCAACCAACGAATTATTGTGCGAGCAATTTTATACGGAGAAAGAAAACGTATACCTTGCAGACATACTATAAACAATAAAGATATGAAAGTCATGAAAACGAAATGTACGAGTGCTGACCACTTTATTTATAAATTAACTAGATTGTACTGACCTATTTTGCTTGTGTGTGAAATAATTTGTTAATCAGCGGAAATTTCATAACACTTTTTTTTACATTCTCGACGTTATAATATCTCGGCGTTATAATTTACTCAGCGTAAAAAAATTGATAACGTTTGTTTCACCATGAACTGAGTACATTGAATTTATGACCTTGGTTTCTTGTTCGATCAACGAATAATACACGTGGAAAGCACATTTGTGAGAATTAAAGTGACTTTTAACATCTACATTGTACTATGATGTCCATTATTTTGAAGAGAATACAAATCTATCGCCTATGCATACTTGAACACTTGTGTGCGCAAGTTACACTTAAAAATGAAGATTTTAATGTATAAAGGTTGACAATGATATCTGTTGTTGTTTTGCAACTTATGCTAGCGTTTTTAAATTGAACGACGATTATATTACTTATCAGTTCACTCAGCCTTTTAAATGCATCTGTAATTAATTTCTAATTTGTATTTACCATAGTATTATAGCAAAAAAAAAATGTTCTCGCGACTCGTATCGATACACGTGAAGTAATTACAGCAATTACAATTTTTTGTGTAGGAAATTTTAGAGGTTTATACAAATTTTTCCATGTTTGCACATATAAAGTCCATTTCTAGTACGTGTATATTTTAAGTACATTCTAATAATTGTACAATATATATGATAAACGTACGTAAAATAGCACTTTGCTGTGTTACTGCAATACTGTTCGCAATGGATAATTACAACAAAGTTCGTTTGTTTATAAATGAATACGAGGATAGTTATTACGTCTACAAAGCGTTACGCTAAATCTACGTTTAAGTGTACAGATAATTTACGTACGAGTTTAAGAAACTGCTTTTCATGGAGTGTTAGTGTACAGACGAAATGCTTGTGGTAAGATTGAACAAAATATTAAAGAGAGAGAGAGAGTGTGTGTGTGTGTGTGTATGTGTGCGTGTATGTGTGTGTGAAAGAAAAAGAGAAATGATTGTAATGTACTACACGCGTTAAACGCACGACGTGAGAAACAAAACCCGGTCGTCTTTGGCGGTATAAATCGATAGGACACCCACCTATGAGTACCGTCAACAATGTAGCATTTACGTTGTGAGAGCTAATCATCGTCATTTTGTCCTTCGTATAGTAACGGCTCATCGATTAATCGTAAATAAAGTGATATTTTTTACGGAAGCGCACGTCACTTCTCAACCATAGGATAGAGAGATGTACCGATGTGGGCAGGACGAAGCCGAAAATCGAGCGACGACGAGCCGTGATTGAGAAAGCAACGTATTCCCCAGGCAAGACGCGCGCGTCTCCCCGTCGTCGCCACTCGTCACAGACGACGTAGAATCGACGATGGATCGGCCGGCGCGATAAAGCGCCATCCTGATTGCGGGAGATGAGTACGGGACAAAAAAATCTGTTCCTTCGCTGCCAGCTGCGGCGTCCGTTCATTCGAGCGGCTTGATCGCGCGGAGCGATCGGTTGCAAGGTGAACCGGAAATATTTGAGTTGTCGGGAGGGAAGGCGAGCGAGCGTGTGTCTGTGTCTCTGTTGTGTGTGCAGGTGTCGCGTGGCGCAGCTCGAGCGAGGCTACATCGTGGACTTTCCTTTCGATGATATCACACGACGACGACGTATCGATACGCGCGCGCGCGCGCGCGATACGAGAGCGTGAGAACGCATTCTTCGATAGCTTGCCCGAGTCTATATTTCAGTTTCAGTGATCGTTGTCTTCTACAAACGTCATTCCCTCAGCGAGCCGCCGCAGCCTCTTCTGAGTCCCTTTTGAGTCCTTTACGGCACTCTGACAGATTTTCGACCGCTATCGTCCGCAGATTTTCCTACATTTTTATTTTTTTGTGTTTCCCTAAGAGAACCCAAGGTAGCCCAATATGGACCCCATATTGGCGTCGAATTGATGGAATTAAAGCAGAGAGCCTAACTCTGTGTCCGGCATCCTTCTCGGAATGTGTCTTGCACGTTGGCAAAAAATTCCGGTTCTGCCGGTGCATACCCGATTTATAGTATCGTAGAAAACGGCCGTTCTGAGAATTTAGTGGACAGCGCCGCTTATATGCAGCTGCAGGTTCGGATGCCACGTCCTCTCTCTCTTTCTCTCTCTCTCTCTCTCTTTCTCTCTCTCTCTCTCTCTCTTTCCGCCAGGACATTGCTGGCGATCCCACTGCCTGAGTCACTCGGCAGTGGCGTTATGAGTCACACACACACACACACACACACACACACAGACGGGCCTTATTGGCTAAGGAATTGGTTTCTAACAAAGGAATGTTGTTGCAATGGCCAAGCAGGCAGGCAAAGGAGCAGGAGAGCAGACAATCGAGCGGTCTCGCTGCGTCGTTTTCGTCGCTTTCTCTCGTTCGAGCAACGATCGCGAACTACTTGTCGATCCTGCCTAATGCTATTGTACCGATTCTACCTGCTAACGAGCATGTTGACCGATAATAGGTCAATCGCTATAAGTACTACTGTTATATCTCGAGTATGATAACCCATTGACGGATGTGGTCGACTTTCATGAGGATCTCATGGATAAAACATTCGTAAATATTCGTCGTTTTTTTCTAAATTCTTTTATCACGATATCAGGAGGAACAATTCCCGATCGGAATATCTCACGACACGTCTAATCGATAACATCCGGGGCTGTAACATGTGAGGTTAGAAAGATTAGACGGCGGTAATTGTGGAATAAGACCTCGATGCTTCTGATTCATAATCGGCGACATGTGTGTGCAAGTTTCAACAAATCAGATATATATATATATTTAAAAAAAAATACGTCGAAACGGGATGAGCACTGAGCACGGAGAAGCGAGCTTGATTGAATCAACGTGATAATGCGAGCGAACCGAAAGTTTGGTCGGAGGAAACTGAATATCTGCTTCTTACGAAGCAAATTCGGTTCCAGGAACCAGACACTCCAGACACTTCCTCCAACCAAAAGACGGTTGACCCATTCATTGTCGTCACGTTCAGTTCAACGAATCTCTGTGATATCTCTTGCAAGTAAATCTCGGGGAACATCAGACGCCGATTTGTTTTCAATTTTTTATTTTATATATTTTTTTATATATTATTTAATTTAGTTTATTAGTTTATTATTTTTAATGTCAAAATATAAAGAAATCTCTGTTATCAATTTTAGCTTCAATTAATTTTTTCCATTTTTTCGAAATTTCTGAAGTTCTTTGTTCATTCTTTTTTCGTTCATTTCATTTTGTTCATTTTTTAGCAGATTTTGACGTCGGAAACAATATTTCTTAAAAATGTATGTATATCTGATTTGTTGAAACTTGCACACACATGTCGCCGATTATGAATCAGAAGCATTTTGTAAAATTCAAAATGGCGCATCTAATATGGCTGACACGTCATTGTTGAAAAAGTGTTCAGCTTTACGCTATCTTACGCATTCGACGTTGGATAATCTCTCGGCTCACTATCCAGCAAACAAGCTCATTTTAACCGGTCGAAATCTGATAAAAGATGAACAAGAAACGAACGAAGAATTTCAGAAATTTCGAAAAAATTGAAAAAAAATTAATTCGAGCTGATAATGATAACAGAGATCTCTTCGTGTATTTTGACATGAAAAATAACTATAGAAAATTGAAAACAAATCGGCGTCCGACGTTCCCCGTCGACGAGGTTTACTTGCTAGCGGATGAGACCCAGTGTCGCTTCCAGTGATTTGGGATACATAATTTTCCCGGTAGTCCATGCCCGTCGAAGGCACACGCGAGGACTCTCACGCTCTCACGTGTTTCGCGCTCACGCGTCGCGCGTGTAATCGCGTGTAATTCCCGCGCGCGTATCAGCGAGCGATTACTCACTCGTCTTCGACGAGTGTAGACCACGAATCGTTGTCCCGGGCCGAACGTGTCCACGCGTGCGTCACGGTGCGGTACTCATCGCCGCGCGATGACGACTATCGACGCCCACTCGATACGCGTGTGTCGTCTATCAATAAAAGTCCCGTGCGTCTCGCTTGCGGCGGACATTGACGGCACACGCACACGCGTGTACGCGGCGCGTACTGCGTACGTGCGCTATCCCGACGAGAGGGGCGTCTCGCCTCTCTCGTCCTGCGTCCCCGTGTGCATTCACGCAGCGCGGTACCATTCACGGCTTTCCACGGCGCGGACGCGCGCAACCTTATCTGCGGCGAGCCTATCTCTCGTTGCGATGACGTTCTCGTTGCGCGAGAGAATGATTTCTCCGGCGCGAAGGGCACAGACGGGACGGGAGAGGTGGGTAGTAGGTAGCTACCCAGCTGGGTAGGTGGACAGATAGGTGGGCGGCTGGGTGGATAGATGGATGGACTCTGGTTCGAGGAAAACACACTTTCCACGACACGTCTCTCTCTCTCTTCGCTACCAGGAACTACCTACAACTTCATGCCAGCAGCACCGCTCGACTTTCGAAGAAGGAGCCGAGGCCGATATTCGTTTGGCTGTCATGGCGCTCGGCAGCGACCGGCGCTTGCGATGTCCTCGTTGATCTACGCGTTTAAAGCATAATCGAGGCTACACAACGGCGCAACGGATCGAGAATACGCAGCCGCAGCCGGTGAAACGAGCTAATGAGAATACGTGCATCACGAATTACTCTGATTCACTGCGCGCGGAGAAGATAAAGTTTCAGCTTAATTGGCGCAGACCTCGTCAATTTGAAGGGACAATTTCCAGTTACAATTACGATAACGACACTGCGGCTGTGTGTCACGTGCTGCGTAACGCGCGCTGCGCGATAATAATAATAATAATAATAATAATAATATAATAATAATATAATAGCGTCGCGTGCATTAACACCGCCACAAAGTTCATTATCGCGCGCAATCAGCGGTCATTGTAATCGCTAATCAAGAGCGGCGAAAGAGCTGACACGGCTAATCGTTTTTCCCAGGCGGCGGCTGGAATTACGTTACCTTCGCATAACTACCGACGATAAATACGTCGTCCGTGCCGCCTGTGAAGTGCGAGAGAGGGACGCGTGTCCCTTCTGCCCTTTCCATTGCCCATGACCATCGGGGTGGTGAGCGTGTAGCGCGACGTACGAGGCGAGAGGGAAAGAAACTGAGAGTTGCTGGTCGTTGCTAATGCAAGCAATTATTTTTCGTGAGTCTCGAGACGTTCGTAATCTCTCCCGGACGCAACGACCGTTCCGGGAAGAATTAAGATTCGCACTTCTCCTTCCCTCGGTGCTCCTCCCTCCCTCCCTCCCACCTGGAGCGTTCTCTTTGCGTTGACCGATACACCCCGAGGTAATTTCGCAGAGAGGAGAGGAGAGGAGAGGAGAGGAGAGGAGACTCAAGAAAGAGAAAGACGGAACCTCCTCTTTTACGGACAAAGGAACGACCCGTTACATTCCCTCTTTGACGATCTTCGTTTTTCGGGAGCCTTCCCACTCCGCTGGCCGGGGGGGACAGAAGCGAAGAAGGATCGCGACCGGGTTGCGAGCAATTATGAGCAGACCCGCTAATTGAATCGCCGCGCGCTGTGTCCGCGTCTGAGTCAAAGCCGGCTGCGCGAATGACTCACGGCGAGTCATCGGCGGCGTGCCGGTAAACACGTGTATATCATCGAGCGTGGTGTCCGTCATTCGTCGGTTAATTAGTCGAACGCAAACGCGCCGTACGGTATGTAACGATGAAGTCAGAGCGCGAGTGAAGCTTCCCTCGTCTTCTTTGCTTTGCGGGTTGCACAGTAAAAGTGCCACAGTGCCGGGACACGGTCTGCCTGACTCTGGACAACCTTGTTGTGTCTTGACCTTTAAATTTGACCACTTCAACTTGAACAACTGAAAGAATGTTCATTGTGCTGGATACGTGTCCTCGCACGTGACCGATGCTTTTACCCTTCTCTCATTACTCGACAAGGTGTGTTTATCATTAACCAGATGCTCGAACTCCGGCGAAACGATTTCACGACGAAGCCGCTTCCCGGCATCAGAATCACCAAAGTCACCGAGAAGACGAGCGTTGCGCGAAGAGGAGTCTCGCTCGTGTTAAAATTAGAGTGGGCGAGAGTGGGCTTTTACATAGTCTAGTAGCGCGCGCGTATCATGACGGATATGTGCAACATATAACACACAATCTTGAGACCAATGCTCTAATTGAACTGTACATATATGGAACGGAGAGTTATAAAGATAAGCCAGCT